ACACACACACACACACACACACACACACACACACACACACACACACAGTGACGTGTGTACCTGCTGGTCGGTCAGTGGGTGCAGCGACGCCACATTAACGTTGAGCAGCGGCAGAACTCTCTGAAAAGACGACTGGGTGGGAAACCGCATGTTGAGCTGTAGCAGGTAGACTTCTGCTAGACTCACGGGGACCACCTACACACACACACACACACACACACACACACACACACACACACATACACGCAGAGAGATTTAGTCTTCCTGTAGAGTGTATATCAAACTCAATCCTGGGAATGTCTGCCTAGCCAAAAAGATAATAATTAAGAGACTATACTGGTACATAACTAAATGACATACACACATCTAAATGAGACAGTAATGTATTATTTTATTTGTGTTGAAACAAAAAAATAACGAATTGAGTAACAGTTCAATTGCTTTTTGCGCTTCCTCGTCAAATGACATTTCGATCACTTGCCATTATTTTTAGCGTATTGTGTTTAAAAAAGCCTGCATATATGCGCTATTTTTGGTGGAAAAACAGCTTTCAGCACTTACTCGTCAGATAACATTTCAACCGCCATAAGCCTAACAATTTTTCTTGCACTTCATCTGACACTTCAAACCCTTTTAGTGGCTCAACTTTAACAGCCTCTTCAACTGCTTTCTGTGCTTAAACTGCAACTCACATACAAGAGCTCACATGCAAACAAAGTTTTATGAAATTGTATTAATCTTTTGTTATGTTTAGAGTTTTTAGAATTTTTTAAGTAAGCTAGCACACTTTTTCCCAGAAGATTTAGCCACTGCTACTTCAACTATGATTGAATAAGAAACAAAGTAACATAACCAAAACAAATACAAAGTAAGTAATTGTCCATTATAACTGACTAACCTGAGTAATGTTATTTTCCTACAATCTTTGTTTCATTTCACCTCCAACCCACCCATTCCTCACCTTGAAGCTGGAACTCTTTAGGACCAGGTATCCCCCCTCTATCAGATCCAGGGTCAGTTTCAGGTAGAGGTACGAGCCCTTGCTCAGGCTCTTCAGGTGGCCGATGAGCTTGGCCAGCGCCGTGTTGTCGAGGCGACCATTGCTCAGTGACACGTTGCTCTGGATCTCTGCACTGCTGTGGATACGCTGCATCAGGTAACCCTGAGAAAGAAAATAAAAAATAAAGACGTGCATAGATGTACAGATAGATAGAGAGACACACTGTGTGCATGTTACCTGCAGGTCCTGGTCTATGGCGTTGTTCTCCTCCATCCTGTCCAGAGAGATGCAGTGAAAAGGTAGAGAACGAGCGATGTCCTGATTGACAAAAACACAGAAAAAAAGATTTATTTTAGGTTGTTTAGCTCCATGAGTTTGTTGAAAGTGTCGTGTTAAAACAAGAACCCTGTTTAACTCTTAAATATTTGCTACATTAAGTATGATAAGAAAAAGATTTATTCCTATCTGTCATAACCCTGCTGGCTGTTGAATATACTTTAAATGTTACTTTAAATGTTGCGGGAAAAAAAGGGCTGACATGTAACCGACATGTTTGGCAAATGCAACGCTATCTCCGGTAACATTGGCTAAGGCTGCTTGAGTGTCAGCTTTCCAGAATCCAATAAAGAGCAGGACACGGCCCCTCACGTTATCTTAATCTCTGATAGCATCTACAACGAGCTTCCACACAGTGGGGAAAATACCATGTACTTTTTTAATGTAATCCGTAACCCTATAAACTAATGTAATGTAATGACAAACGCTTTACTTTTCCACTGTAAGCTAGTTGTACTAATGTTGGCTTTACTTTACTACTGTAAGCTCGTTATGCTAATGTTGGCTTTACTTTTCCACTGTAAGCTAGTTATACTAATGTTGGCTTTACTTTACTACTGTAAGCTCGTTATGCTAATGTTGGCAGCTAACGTTAGCGCAGATAAACACACAGTTCAAAGCATTCCTTACACTGAAAATCTTTGAATCGTGTTTAGTTTTTTGCTCTTTGTGTCACGTTTTAGTTTTGGATAGGATAAAAAAAACATTAATCTAACATGCTCCAAACTCTTGTGATACCAAGTTTTGTTCACTACAGCCCTGTGCACACTGTTACAGTATTTTTGCTGTAATTCTTGTTTGATTTTTGAAGAGAATTTGATGATCACCACATATGGTGAACTTACATGCAGCTTTAATAAATGCATAGTTTAACAGAACATCCAACAGCTGTTGTCTGAGTTCTGTTTTTGTGTGTGTGTATACCTGCTGACCGGTCCTGACAGTGGTTATGACCTTCAACCAGGAAGGAAATTTCTGGACGTTTCGGGAAAGGAATGAAGTCAGTGCGTCGCCGTAGTCCGGCCGGTGGAACTCTGCCTCATTCAGCCCATCAATCAGTATAATAAGCCCTGCCCCATCCACGTGCAACTTCCTCTCTGGAAAAAAAAACCAAACAATATAGAACAGAACACATTGAGTATTATATCCTTGACTTTTACAGAAGAGAAGCAAGCATCAATAATACAGAGCATCCCTGGTGTACCTCTGTAGAGAGCGTCCAGTGGTTCTAGTATTCCTCTCTGGAGGGCGGAGCTCGGATCCTGGATGCAGGAGCGCAGACTGAGCGTGCTCTGTAGCTGTGGCGTGCGGTGCAGCAGCTCCCGATAGGCCGACAGCTGGGGGGCGTCACTGAGCATCGCCGCCATGTTGTGGACGAACTCCGGGACCAGGCAGGTGTGACAGTTATCAGCTTGACAGAAATGATATGCGACTACCTGCGAGGTCAGACAGGAAGAGATATTTGCATAGTTTGTGGATTTTAGCAAGACCTTTGAGCTTGTTGTTGCTAATTTCTTTACCAGCCTTTTAAGTTTCCACCGGACCAACAACAGTTTGCACGCAGCAGCAGGTTAACTATGCTAACTACAGTATAGTGGCTCAAAACTCCATAAGATCTAAAATATTTGGGGGTCAAATGGAAAACGTTCTCATTTTCCAAAATATACATGCTTAATTAGTAATGAGATTGATACACTCATTTCTTTACGGAAAGCAACGGCAATGGCGGCGCATGTACATGCTGTGGCCGGTAGCTCCCATGAATTTTGTTACATTTTTGTCATAATTTCTTGTCTTTTTGTCTTTATTACTTGAGCGCTTGTGGAATATGACAGAAAAACTCATCAACATCGGAGAAGGGAGCGTAGGCATTGGATTCATTCGTGGGGAGCGGACCTTGAGACGATCACCACCCGCGGCCGAGCACCCAGCCAGACCTGCCGGACCAAACGCTACTGAGCTACGGAGTAGAGCCGAGTCTGAAGCTAAGATAACACAGCTAGGACCTGAGGCTATTCCACCCCCCAATCTGCTCCTGGATAATGTCCGGTCGCAGAAAAACTCAGGCAAACCCAGAAACGGGCATCTGATTGTTGGTGCTCAAGCCGAATTATTAATGTGAAGATGTTGTTTGTCACGTTTTTACTTGTGTAGCGAATGGGCTACAACTGCATTTTGTTATGCAGCCCTGTGTTGCATAATGACAATAAATGATCCTTGAATGAATATGTAGCTGGAGCTAGCAGCTACTTAGCTTAGCTTAGCACAGAGAAAGGAAACAGCTAGCTGAAGTTTTTTTACGGGGGGGTTGTGCACCAGACTATTTCTTGGCCGGGTGCAGTGACCTCCTAGTGTGTTCGCTGGTTGCCTGGCAACCTGAAAACGATGACAAGACCTAGATGTGAGTAATGACGTGTTAATTTAGAAATTTTAGAGGTGCTGGCGGGTGGATCGTGTTACCATTGGAAAAAAACAGGCTAGCTGTTTCTGCAGTCTTTATGCTAACCTAAGCTAGCCACCCTCAAACTCCAGGTACACATTTAACGCACAGGCTAAAGAGGGGCATCAATCTTCTCTTCTAATTTTCGACAAGAAAGCAAATAATTTTACTGAAGGAAATGTAGTGCATCACATTCAAAGTAGCATAAAATGCAAATACTCAAGTTGAGTACAAATACCTAAAAAGTGTACTTAAGTGCAGTACTTGAGTTAATGTTTCGGTTACTGCTTTCTAGTAATCTGTTGCGTGATACAGTAGATCTACATTAAGTGAAGTGGGGATGGTACCTGTGCTGCAAGTCTTCTCAGCGCCTCCTCTTGTCTCCTCCTCATTTCTGGAGTCCCCGGACAGCTTCCTTCGTCTCCCCCTCCTCCTCTTCCCAGAGAGTCGTGGGAGAAAGAAACGGCCTCTGCATCTGGAGTGAGGGAATAATAGAATATTTGTACATTTTAAAATCTCAGTAAAGATGTAAAGACACAAACCAGCTTTGTCTTTCTCTCTGGCTGCTGGCTTCTTTACGCTATTTTTTTAATCCACTGCATGATTTAATGGGTTTTCCTGCTGCCTGGCTCGGCCGTGAGTGTGGTTGCTGATCTTGAATGATTTTATTGGGTTCTGCATGATGACTCAGTCTTCTCCTACAGACTGATCGAGGTCGTCTTCATGGCTGGAATAACTCACCGGGGGTCCTTTGGCAAGCATGCGACGTCGGCTCCTGCCAACAATTCACTATGTCCCCTTCATTTGTTGTAAAAATGATTCTATTTTTTTCTATTCTATTTTCTAATGTACATGTTCTTACAGATTTGCCTACACATAGAGTCTAATCTGACTGTAAATCAGGGCTGGTTTTAGCCTGCTGTATTAGGTTGGGCTGGTAGAAATAATAGATGGCAAATGATAAATGCACTTGTATAGCACTTTTCTAGTGTTCCGACCACTCAAAGCGCTTTAACACTATATGTCATCATTCACCAATTCACACACATTCATACATTGATGGCAGGGTCTACCATGCAAGGTGCCACCTGTCCATCAGTTAGTCTAACTAACGTTTCACACCCATTCAAACACAGGGTGTGAATTAAGTGTCTTGCCCAAGGACACATCGACATGGACCATGGAGCAATCGAACCGCCGATCCTCTGATTAAAAGACGACCCTGCCCTACCACTGAGCCGCAGTCGCCCAGATGGGCAGCCCGCAGTTTAGCAAAGGCTATTGGTTTGAATCCCCCTTTTTTAAACAATAATTTAACTAGTACATAAAACAAATTTCAAACAATTGTAAAAGTGCCAGAGTTAGTTGTCAGCAGTGCCAAAATATTATTGTAGTTGAAGGATGAATGTGATGTGTTGAGGTCAACCTCAGAATGACTTCAATTAGGTAATATTCTTCATAAATGTCATGAGATGAAACAGTCTGAGTATACTGTGTTTAAAAAAAGAAACACTCCAAACTATTTTTAAAAGTACGGCTGAACGCGTACATAATTTTCCATTTTCTACTGGAAAAAAAAGGAAATAAAACCTTTTTACCCATTGATTGATTAAGATGAAAGATTGTATTTGGTACGACATATTAATATTGTGAGTTTTAAATGCATGATAATTTATGATTCTCTTGTATATTTCTGTATCCACCAGCTGTAAAAAGTATTTTAAAAAGATGATGGTAATAGAGTTGGATAGATTTCCGGTATTGATGGTCCGTCTGGTGTACGAGCTTAAACCAAACAGACATTTGTCATTATACACGTTACTACATTTATATTACATTAGTAATGAGCAATATGACAATGTAATTAACATAATATGATTGTTTATAACAGATAGCTTGATTGGTACAACACTATATATATATATATATATATATATTAGTGCTGGGCAACGATTAACATATTTAATCGCGATTAATCGCATGGATTTTTTGCGATTCATTGTGATTAATCGCATTGTTATGGCAAAGCTCAATAACGAATTCAAAAGTAGTGTATTGAGCACTTTTATTTTAAAAGTACTGCTATATGAACAAAAGGGCAATAACATTTGGTTCACGAGATGCAGGTTGCATGTTTTATACTTAATGTGAATATAATTCATACTTTGTTAGCATCTTATTCTGAAAACCAGATCTGGTTCTTCTTTGAAGAAACCGGATGTTGTCTCACGTTAATGTTTCCGCTAACTTTCAAAGTCGTTCGCTCGCTCCCGATCTGTGCTGTTTAAATGCGTTTACCGTGAATTTCAGCATATAGGTGCACTAAAATGTAAGTGTCTGCTGAGTTGACCACGGAGATCTGAGTGTCTGCTGACTTTACCGCAGCGATGTCCAGTAGTCTCCAGGGAGAGCAACAGCTGGTGCAGCTTCTCTCTTTATTTCCCCCCCCCTCGACCAGAAGCGGCAACCCTGAAGGGACATCATATCTCCAATACAAAACGATAAACATGAGACAGTCTGTTACAATAATAATGAATTAAAAATACTTACCTGTTTTTTTTGTTGTTGTTGTTTTATTATTATTTTTTTTTTTTCCCCATCTCAAAAGGCTCAAGGACATACACACACACACACACACACACACACACTGCTTTTGTTTGCTGGCTTTTATCCCACTGTTCTTGTCATCCTCTTGTTGTTATGTCTATGTATTGTCTCTTGTCTTTTAATAAAAATAAAATTTAAAAAATGCGTTAACGCGCGATAAAATAATTGTCGGCGTTAATTAATGATGCGTTAACGTGAAATTAACACGTTAACTTGCCCAGCACTAATATATATATATATATATATATATATAAAACTCTCTATCTGCTTACGTTTAACTGCGGTCTGTTTGCTGGTGGCGGTTGGCGACATGCAGTTTCCATGACAACTGAGCGCCACCAGACGGGCGACGATAGCCGTTTTGCCGAAGCCCATGTTGCCGACGATCACCACGCCCCGACTGGTTGCCGGGTTGCCACTGCGGAGACAAGCATCCACTTCTTGGAAGAGCCACTCCCTGCCGGTGAACAGCCAATCAGACGAGAGACCCGGAACCTCAAAGTGGAGGGGCTTCAGGTTGAGGGAGGGAGTGAAACAAACTGCGGGAGAAGAGGTGAGGAGGAGCATTGTAATACTGGTTGTAAAATAGTATGGCTTCGTTGTGTTTACGTGTTTGTTTGTGTGTGTGATTACCTCTGTGGTCCTGTTGACTACGACTCCCAGAATTCTGCCTGGGCATTCTGAGGGACGTCCTTGAAGGGACGTGTCTCTGCTGCTCATCCAGATAGGCTAGATCTTCAAGGTGGGCAGAACTGGTGGCTGCAGTGAGAGAATGATGGAGAACGTTTGTTTTCTGCATAAACAAAGTTTTAGATGGGCAAACAACCCTTCTGGTTGAATCATAAGTACTAGAAAATCTTATCTTGTAAGGGGATTTTGTATAAAACATCAACAACTTTATTAAAATATGTTGCCTGGGCTGCTTATGGCGAGTGGAAGTTTAAGTTTAAACATTGTAGAGATGTGATTATACACTTGGGCTGGGTTGCACCTATGAGTAATGTTCAGAGCTCTGAGTAGTGAAAATGATTAAATCCAGGTTTAAAATCAAGCAATAAAAACTAATCTCCGTTTAGTAAATTCAAGTTTAGACTAAAATTATATAATATATGATAATATATTGTCCAATATTATATAAATATTATTATATTATATATATTTACAACAATCCCATTAGATAAACTAACATTTCTGATAAGTAGCTGTCTTTGTGTGGACAAAAAAAAGATACATAACCAGTAAGCTTTAAAGGTGTGAACATACTAGGACCCAATGCCATGATCCAACTCTGTTCTTAAAGTAACAGTTTTCGGGAAATATACTTCATGGCATTTTGGTGAGAGTTAGATGAGAAGATTGAAACCAATCTTGTGTCTGTACGACAAATGTGAGATGGTTAGCTTAGCTTAGCACAAGGACAGAGAAACAGCTAACCTGATTCTGTCCAAAAGTAAAAACATCAAGTGGTGGTTTTAAGGGGGGTGGGGGGTATGTGACGGACTAGTTCCATGGCCTTCAGTGGTGACTTCCCAGGTTAACTTGCAATTTGCTGAACTCATTGCTTCACACTGCCCAGTGGTCAACCACAACAAATAAACCCACAACCTGTAGGAACAACTGCATGAGGACATAAAACAAGCTAATATCTAAATACAAACACAAACAGGGTTTTGACACACTGAAAGGATTTTTAGAAGGAGTTTTAAAAATTGCAGATAAGAAACGTATTCCTTTTCTGATCTATCGTTAGTGAAGGGAGGAACAGGCAGGATTTGTAGGACATTGTTCCATGGAGTGCTGTGTCGTGATTTCCATTAAAGCCACAGCTGATTTGAAATCTAACAAAACATGCATGAATATTGTTAACTTTGAGTTGTCTCGACTCCAGACAAAGACAGACAGACACCTACCCAAAGTTTGATCCACTCAATCCAGTTACAATCCGCTACAGCCAAAGAGAATGTCAGTGCAGGCTGTGCCTTGTATCCTGTGTGTGTGTGTGTGTGTTTTGAGGAACGTCATACATGTCATTTCCTTCCTTTTTAGATTTTATGAGACACAGAGAGAGGAAAAAGAGGAAAGGGAGGATGAGTTCTGAACACGTTACTGAGGCACTGTCTGTGTCTTTCAGCCTGGTTGTTTTGTATCTGCACATTACGACCGACAAACAAGGAGCTCATAACTATTTTTAGAGATGTTAGTATGCAATCTGAACAGAGCCAGGCTTACTGTTTCCCCTGCTTCCAGTCTTAATGCTAAGCTAGGCTAACGACATCTTGACTGCAGCACCAAATAAGTGTATTTCCAAAATGTTGAACTATTCCTTTAAGGTTAGGGTGAATATAGAAAATAAATCTGGGATATCTGTGCTTTTTTGTCTCATGAAGAACAGAGCTGTATGTGTTGCTAAAGCTAAAAGGAAAGAAAACTACAGATAGGTCAAGTATATGAAAAACAGGGCTGGGTATCGTTTAAAAAAATGATGATGCCAGTAGTAATACCAGTAAAGTGATACCGATAACAATAGAGCACTTAATTTGATACCAATCATGTGAATGGAAGCTGGGTGTGTGCCCCACTGGCTAGCTAATCGCCGCCGCTCTGCACAGTGCTCATACGGATACTGATTACCACGTCCAGCCAGATGCCTGTAAAACCCACCCTCCGGTTTCCCCTCAGCTTACTGATAGCTCTGTCAGCACTGTTAGTGTTGTCAGCATTGTTTGCGCTGTTAAGACCGTTAGCTTCTCGCCACCGGCTCAGACATCTTCACCTTGAGAGCCGTATGCAGGAAATTCCAGCTGTGTGGCCTGTAGCTGCTGTGGTAAGAGAAGATAGGGTATCTTTAGCTTCTGTAATGTGACGTACGACGTGTATCTCGCTGCGTCAAGTCAAGTGCGAGTGCAGCTCAAACTGCATCCTGTGTAAAAAGGCCCTTCAGACCCGGCAATGCCGCTGGCCACAAGTCTCATTTTTTTTCGGCTCATTTTCTGTAAGCAGTGTAGTAATAAATAAAGTAGGGCGGAATTGGCGAGCTAGCTAGCTAGCCAGCTGTCCACTAGTTAGCTAGCTAGTTAGCTAGTTGTCACTCATCTGTCAGTAGAAATTAGCTTTCCTATGCTTTGTAACAGTACTACTGCACTGCTCGTTTTAGTTGTTACTGCAAAACCTCACCTCAACAACAGTCAAAATGGCAACATTACACATAATAATGGCTGCCACTCTGACCAAACTGCTACATTGATGTAAATGGGAATGAGCTCTTTTATCTAATTCTATTTCTATGCGTCATCCATTTGAAATCTTACCAGCAACTGAATTAGGGCGGGGCATGAGGTAGAGCGGGATGGAGTGGGTGGAGCCTGACGAGCGGGCGGAGCCAGGGCCTCGGTCTGGGTGGAGTTTGTTGAGGCTGTAAGTGGAGGCGGCCATGATGTCCTCCACCCTGTACAGGAAGCCGTCATTTGCGCTTCCTCCTGCTACCATACAGGAAGAGGAGTTGGAGGCCACCACCGGTCGGCCCCCTTGCTGCCAGAGATTCAGGCTGCTGCCGCGGTAACTGTCCACAGGGTACTTGCAGCTGTCGTCCCGCTCTGCTGCCGACTCAGCAGAATAGCTGGTCAACGTGGCTGAAAGAGAGAGTGAGAGAAAGACAGGAAAAGTGAATAATTTAGCAGTGGAAGGGTTGTTTTTTTTAAGAAGCTGTATCTACGGCATGTCACCTATGATGCCGCTGTCTCTGCTCTCCAGTGTTGAGGTGGGGGAGGTAACAGAGGCGTGGTTGGGGGAGGCGTGCTTGTCGTTGTTGTTTCCCTCCCCTCCTGCAGGAGGCTGCAGTGTGGAGCAAGGGGAGGTGCTGCTACTGGCCAGACTGGAGGAAGGAGAGATCCTCTGTGGGGGGAAAAGATGAGGTTTCATCCTCACTTTCTTGTATGTATACAGTCAGTATGTGCAACAATGTCTTTAGTCATGTATACCGAAAAAGCATTTTTAAATTTAAATTTAAAAGCGACAGACAGGACAAAATATGCAATTTAAAGAACAAATAAACATTTTACTTTATATTCAAGTTATGGGCTAAGAAATGTAGAAACAATATATTCATGCAGTATAATGAGTATCTTAGATACAGTATCTAACATACAGATCACATCAGTTTTGCAAAAGACTAATTGCTATTTGTACTGACTCTTTGTGGTGGAAAGGAACTACCTACATCTACTAGAATAATGTATTGTAGTAAAATGTTAAGGTACTTGAGTACATTTGACAGTCACAATTCCGAGTTACTTTGCATGTCAATGTTATAAAGAATTACTTCTACCTATTAAAATCATAAAAGGTGAAAAAGACAGGATTGCTCAATATATCAAACATTTCTTGTTAAAATAAAGCTGGAAAAGGTGAGTTTTAAGTTATATTATTATTTGTCCTTTGCCAAATACTCAATTCAGATTTTGGGAATATCTCTAGTACATACTGTATATTTAGTTGGTATAAACAATTTGTGAAGGGAACAGACAAAATAACAGGAACACTTTACATACATTAAGCAATACAACACCTCCAAAAATTACAATATGTTTGAAATTACTGAAAATCTGAATTTGCTACATGGCACAGAAGTTTTTCTATTTAAAATTGTTGTACAGGTAAAGCAGGACTAAAAACAACCTAAATGTTTGTAAGTGTTTGATTACCTGTTCATCATCCCGGGCGTGGTAAGAGGACCCCGGCTCTCCGCCGACTATCTTTTCCCCCAGCAGGAAGCCCAGTCTGGTCATCAGAGCATCAGCCGCCTCGTCCACTGAGGGTGGGGGTCCCAATTCCTGCTCCTCACCTGGAGAAAGCGAAGAAAGGATTTTTTTATTGGGTCTTTCTTCAGCACAATTGCACCAGGCCCGTACCTGATTTAGAAATGTTTGTGTCAAATTGGATTTGGCTGTTCAATACGAAGATACAACATGTCTTTCTCTTTTTTTCACGTAGCGCACATAGCTGGCGCATTTCCTCCGAGGCGTAGAAAGTGACCAGCTCTAGATCAACTTGGTAAAAGGTAAAAGGGGCGGACCTTGAAGACTCTCCAGTCGACTGAGTGGCCACCTCCGGAGTATTCGACTCATCGACTTTGTTTCCAGTCTTTATGCTATGCTAAGCTAACCAGCTGCAGCATCATATTCATCACGCAGACATTGAGAGCAGCATCAATCTTGTCATTTAACGCTAAAGTGCACTATCCCTTTAATACCAAGTACAAATAGAAATGAAGCCACACAAATTGAATTTGCAGTGGTGGAAACACTGACAGAAATGCAGACTTGACCACTGGAACAACCCAAAAAGTAGAGACCTCAGTGATATATCCGCTCTGCCTACACTACATATACAT